TATGGCCAAAACCACATGCCCTAGTAAGCGGGATATTGCCTGCATTGTCTACAATGGTAAGCAAATCTCGATTCAGTGGGACTAGGAATTTTGCCAAGTTTGTTCTTCCCTGAAATGCAACATAGGAGAGAACTGTGTGACCATTGCAATCCTTTTTCTCCAGATCTGCTTTTGACATTATCTTTGCCAATTTCTTGGCGATCTCATCTTTCTCGGCCTTGACTGCAACTTGAAGAACAGTTTCAACAAAGTCTGTAATAGGTGGAAATGTTCGACCCATGTCAGAATATATAAACTCCGTTATAGCTGGCCAATCTCCATTGTAAATTTTCTTGGTCACCTCTACACAGCGACGTCGGTTAGCTTCTTCTCCTATATGCGAATATTTAAGGTATCATTATGATTATTAAAAAGAAAAAAAAAAAGAAGAAGAAATCAAAGTATAATCGAATTACATAATAAGCCAACACTTTAAATGGGAATATATCTCTGCAATAATAAAGATAAATCAAATAACAGTATATACAAGACCTCAAGCCCTGCAAATATCTGTATTTTTTCTTAGATTTTTATTAATTATAAATTTTTATAATAATAATTAACTATATACATCTTAGAGTATACTTTTGATAATTAGTCAAATGGGAGAAACTAGAATCAGACTTGCTTGGTGATATTTCCACAGCCCAATGTAGACAAGGGATCGAAGATAGATGGGACTGGAAGTTGGACAACATCCATGGATACTCTACTAGTTCGGCTTACAGACTCTTAAAAGCCTCAAACCACAGAGTTGATGCAGAAATCTTTATGAAAGTTTGGAATCCACTGACCCCAAGTAAAGTTAATGCTATGGTGTGGCAGTTAATCCAAAATAAATTACCAACTAAATTTGAGTTGTTTAAGAGGGGTGTCCTGAATAGCTACAACATGACATCATGCTCCCTATGTAAAGAGGAAGTTGAGACCTCCAGCCACTTATTCTTACACTGTCGAGTTGCATATTCCTTATGGGGCATGTGCTTGAAGTGGTGGGGAATGCAATCAGTTAGACTAGGAACTTGTTGGGAAGCTTTCTCTCAACATCTTGGACTAATTGGAGATAGGAAGCTTTTAAAAGGATGGGATACTATTTGGTTTGCGTATGTTTGGTCTTCATGGCTAACTAGAAACAATTGTGTATTCAAAGGGAAGGAACCAGATGCTCAAAAGGTGTTTGATTGCATCCAAATCAGATCATGGGAATGGTTGAAAGCAAAGAGCAAGAACTGGTCATGCTCATTGATAGATTGGCTATTAACACCAAAAAATTGTCTAAAATACAATGGGTAGCACATGAATTACACAGGGATATAGGCAGTTCAAATATCAAAAGACACTAGAACTAAGATATAATGTAAGTATTTATGGGTTGGAATACCTCTTGTCTTCTAAAATAATAAAATTTTGCTGTTCAAGAAAAAAAAATAGTACTTAGAGAGTATTCGTTGGGATTCTCATCAAATCTATAGATATATATATATATATATTACCTCCACTCGACGTCTCTCTAGGTTCCTGCCCTTCGGGTATTTTGGCTAATTGATTCCACACATCCTTGGCAGAGTAGGCTGAGCTATCCTTTATTTGACGAAAAATAGATTGCGAACAGCTAGAAAGAATTGCATGTAGAGCTGCAGCATTCTTTTTCCTCCAATTGCCCTCCTGAATATTCCCATATTCAACAATGTCCCAAAGATCTTGAGCCAATAAATAGTTTTTAATGTAAACTTTCCAATCTTCATAATTATTTTTATCTTCTTCAAGAAGAAAAGGAACAATTGCGGTACTTAAGTTGCTGCTGTTCTTTGCCATTTCAAATCTGTCAAATTAAACCATAAAAAGTATAATCTTATTAGAACATATTCTAACATCTCTCCAGCTATATATATACTATAAATGATCCAAGGCTCGATCATGCAAACAACGTCAACCAACCTTCTTAATGAAGACCAAGTAAAATGCCCTGGCACCATAAAATTTTGCCATGTACTCATGTAATAAAATTTTGCCATTCAAAAAAAAAAAAAAAAAAAGGCCCTGACACCATAAAGCCATACAGCATATAGCTCTCTTGTATACCTACGCCAATCAAAATTGTGTAGTTATAGTTCTCTCTTCTTAATCATTCTTATGTTTTTTTTTTTAATGGACACTAATTAGTATATTTTTGGATTCAATATGCCACACAACTTATTTATTAAAAAATTATTTTTTGTATAAAATTAAAGACATATAAACATAAAGACGTTGTCATATATACATAATGTATGTATAGGAATCAATTAAATTAACTATACTTATATTATATTTTAATAAATAAATTAAGTAAGTGTTAAAAGATATATTGAATCAGATAGTATATTAATTTTTTTTCTTTTTTCTTTTTTTTGTACGCGTGTAAGTGTAAGTTAATCCATATACCCACAAACCTTAAACCGAAGAAACTTATGCCTATGAAATGTTGAAAATAGGTAAAAATAATAATAATAATAATAAAGCATCGATACATGGCAAATTGATTGTACTGTCCTCGTCTACTTTTTGTTACAATTTTGGTTGGCACACACACTTCCATATAGGTTGCAATTACAGTTTTCATATAACAGTTTTGATTGCAAAATTTGAACTATCAAAATTATTGGTTAGAAGCTAAAATTAGAAATTAAAATCACAAAATTATTAAGTATATAAATTTTTAGAACTAGTACTCAAAATAAAAACCTAATTACTTAAAATTCATTAAGTATGGTTGTGATTTCGAATTTTTTAAATTTCATTTTTATAAATTTTACAACTCTAAACAAAAAATTTGTTTACTTTTATATGTTTTTACAACATATTATCACTATTATTAAAGAAAGAAGAACAAAAATAGTTTTAATACCATTAAATAAGTTTAAATTTTTATTGTCATTGTTAAATGTCTTATACAAATTATTAGTTTTTAATTTTTAATTTTAGTTCCTAAAAGATGAAAATTTTATGAAAACCAAAACCAAAAAGGCAAAAGGACAACTATTCTAAAGAAAGCCTTATTAGACTTGTTTATTCTGATTGAGGATTTAAAATTTTTTTTAAATCAAAACCAAAAACTCAAATTCACAATCACACTAAATAAACTTGAGAAAAAAACAAATTAAAAATTTATGATCAACGCAAAGAATCCATAATAAGAGAGAATATAGATTACTAAAATGTAAAGAACTAATTTTTATAGAAAATTTTAAGTAAGAAATGCTAATTAGCTGCCTTACATCCATGGATCAATTATTACTTTCACTATTGGGTAGACCGTCTCAACCCACCCACATACTCCTTATACAGAAATCAAAAATGAAATGGCATAGGCATAAATAAAATAAAATATGTAGTCAAATAATATAACTTTATTTACTTACCATGGAAGAGTTGGATGAGATAAATTAGCGTTCTTGTGAGTTGTCTAAACTATAACATATAAGCTTAATCTGTACTGCATTTTATAGAGAATGCAGATCACTACTAGAAATCAAACTATTAACAACGTGTACGCATCACGGTGAAAGGCAAAGGGAAAAGAAGCCGTATCTGAAAGAGAAAAAGAAAAAAGGAAGAATTTATTCAAAGCAACCATATCGCCAAGGAATCCCATTAACTCATTGAGATTTCGCCACATTCCTTTTTAAGCTAGCTAGTTTGACTCTTGTGATCGCATGGCTCATGTTCATACTACTTTTTTTTTTAACAGCAATAGATATATTTATTAACGGAGTACAAGGGGTACCCCAAACCTATAACAAAACTGTTTGAGAAGCCTACTTTTACATGAGTGAAATAGCAAGGTGTCGACACCCACTTTAAGTGTCGATACTATACCTGTGATGAAATTCAATCCTCCTTTGCATATTCACAAAACAACACAAAACCCAGCCGCTAAATGTTAATTCCATCTTTCAGACTATTCCTCCCTAGCTTTTACCACCACAATTCACAGTGAGGCATGCAATAGGATTGCTTAACCAATCCGAAAGAGTAAAGTAACACCAAGCTTTTTTTGCTTTAAACCATAAGAACGATCGTATTTGAACCAGTTCAAATAGCTTACCCGGGTCCATCTCTTGGTTCTGGAAGATCCTTTGATTCTGCATCAACCAGATGGACCATACTATTGCGCTCCAGGTACAGTCCCATCCTTTTCTGATCCTCGTGTTTCTGGTCCACACCCCAGGTTGTTCAAAAGTCTTCCAGCACTCCTCTTGTGTCTCTATATTGATCCCCCACCACCTAGAACACTCCTTCCATATCCATCTTACATTTTTGCATTTCAGAAACAGATGGGTTGCGTCTTCTTCCTCTTCTTGACACAAGTTGCAATTGCCATCACCCATGATTACGCCAAATCCTCTTTTCAGCAAGTTAGATTTGGTTGGAAGTCTATTGAGCAGTAGTTGCCAGTTGAAAGCAGAGATCTTGTTTGGCAAGTTGGGGTTCCATACTCTCCTGAAGACTTTTTCTTGAGTCGGACACCTCGGCACCTTTGTCAAGAGTGAGTACGCTGTTTTGGTTGAGTAACGGGAATCCTTGTTGTGTATCCATTCCCATTCATCGGGTCGGCTAGGAGATATCTTCACACCCTCAATCAACGTACTGAATTCCATTGCAGCCTCTTCTTCCTTTTCGAGCAACTTCCTTCTCCATGTAAGATTCCATTTCCACGTTCCATTGCACATAGTTCCCATTTGGCAGCATTTTCTCCTTTCCTGCAGATAAGAGATACAATCTCGGGAATTTGTTAGCTAGACAAATCTCCCCACACCACTCATCCCACCAAAAGCTTACGTCCTTCCCTTCTCCTAACTTCAGTCTAAAACCCTCTGTTAACCACCCTGTAATTTCCCCCTCTACCTTATCAATCCCTCTAACATCTCTCCACCAAGAAGAACAAGCCCTTGCATCGTTCCTAACCCAATCCATCTAGTGCCCCCCCTCCCTCACTATATTTGTTTGCAATCACTTTCCTCCATAATCCATCCTCTTTTATTGCTAGCCTCCCCCACCATTTACCCATCAATGACAAGTCAAAGTACCCTAGGTCTCTCACTCCCAAC